CATCCACGACTTGTTCCTGTAATACTTCATTACAGCCACTTCTGTGTGCGACCAGAACACATTGTTCCCATCTTCACAACCAGCTGCACTTCTTGAATTAACAAGTGTAAGCCTATCATAGTCTGAAGATCTGAACTTATGGATGTTTTTCTCCTATTAGTCTCTCAGAATGTGGTTAACTCTTTCCATTTTGACTTACACTGGCTGTTTTTTAACGCTGTTTTATCAGTTCTGATGTGGACAGAATGAGAAAAGTGACTTGGAAGGAAGTTACTGAAAAAATGCAGCTTACATTTTTAAAAGGTTTACATCCTCTTATCAGGCAAGAGCAATGCTTGATATAAGCTAACGTCGATTCCAAAAGGCAACAGCAATGTAATCCTGCAATAATATATTTTTTGCTTTTGTTTCAAGCATCTCAAAGCCCAGTGCATCTACTTGGCCCTAAATCATGCAGGTAGACAGTTCCCTTGTAACAGCATACTGGTTTTATACACTGCCACAGTGAATTACACATCTTGATCAGCAACTAAAATATTTATGCAGCAAAGCCTCTACCTTGCATGTGCAGCCACTCCTATAGGCTTAGCATTACGAGATTGGGGCTGCACCAACCCTAAAAGCCCACTGCCCCAATGCAGCTACACACATATGTAGTCTTCACAGAAGGAATGGTTTTGGTAAAGCACGGAGAATACAAACACCAACAGAGTCCAAATGCAAGTGGCTTCTGAAGAAGCAGCAGTCATAAATAGTACTTTTCCTAGTGAGGTTTTTTCCTGCATTTGTTCCAGACAGACACAACAAATAAAATACTTCAAAAAACCAACAAACTACCTTCAAGGTCATCATCTCCAAAGACTTGCATGTATTTCAAAACAGTACAGAGCAGCTTTCTGACTGTACTTGAAGGAATGATGAATTCTTCCCAAAGTGTCTCTTTCTTTCAGACTGTTTAAACACTTTTAGGTTCCGAGGACATATCCTGCAGCTAGGGGAAGCGTGTGGAAGACTGCTTTAAGAACACTGCACTGTTTGATCATGACATGTAATGTAATGATGCAATAGCAGCCACCTCATCTGCTCAGCAGCTATGCACAGCAGTGTTAGAGCACACTCATGCACAAGCCTTCTTTTTGCCATTTAAAGAGGCAGAAATACGAGATGGAAGCCAAATTTCTTCACCAAGTAGAGAACTTCACAGGTTGAGCATGGGATATCCCCACGGCTTTTCCATTAGACAGAAACAGATGAAGCATCTGATTACACAGACACTCACAGTAGTCTTAGCTCCATTAGTAGTATTTGATGATTAACTTGTTTAGGATAACAGGAAAGCAGTATATATGAGAAGTTAAGAGAAAAGGCCTAAGCAAAATGCCTCGATAAAAAGAGTGCATCATCCTTCCTGGAGAGCCTACAAAAGACAGACAACCACTACTGCAAACGCATGGATGGTGGGGGAAAAGGAGAGGGAAGTATTACATCTGTATTTGCCTGCTACCAATATTCTTCATCTAGCCAATGGTTTGGGCCACTCTTCAAGGTGCAGCACTGAGCTAGATGGTTCTTCAGCCATGCAATCACAGACTGCATCCATACAAACATCTCTGTCTCCTTCTACCCTGAATCACATGCAGCAGATTAGGGACAGATGTACCAGACAACATTCAGCCCTGCTGTAAGGACAACGTTTACCTCATGCCCTACTAACTGCAATGGGATCATCAGGCCATAAAAAAAATTAAGCCCTAAGCCTTACTCAATCCTACTAGTTTCACAGTACTGAAATTTTGTAATTTTGTACATAGTATTTTTGTCTTCACTGATTTAACTGATTTTCTTTCTATGCTGTTGCTAGATCTGATTTGATCCCATTTTATTAAAACAACATTCTAACCAATGTTATCATGTGAGCCACAGGGTCCCTGCAAGGATGTGAACTCCCCTGCTCAACCATGGAGAGCATTTACATCCCCTTTTCACAAAAGTCTATTGTAAAATATTTAGGGGGGAAAAAAAGCCTTATTTTTATTGTATAAAACAGAACTTTGTTAATTCACTGAATGCCTACTCAGGCACTGAAGAATTTGCAGTATTTAACTATAGATCTTTGTAGTGAACAGCAAGTCCAATCATTCTGGTTGCATTATACAGAGTTCCAGGAATTCTTTGGCTTGAAAGAACTGAAATTCATTTTCTCTGGCATATGGAAATAATATTTGATTTAAAGATATATCCCACAGAAGTCAGTCTTGACAAAAACCAGTCTGAATGTAAACAAGCATTTTTACATTATTTAACCTTTCTCATGCTCTCTTCATGACCAATTAAACTGTCGCATTGCTGCCAAACTACAATTCATGAACAAATTCTTTTTGTCACCAAGTAGATATAAAGCTTTGACAGAAGGAGACCCAACAAAACATTACTAAGATGTTCCATTTTTAGAAATGAGTCGTTTTGATTAAACAAATGATTAAGGTACGAGGAATCAATAATTCCATTGTGTGGGAAACTAGCTAGATCTTTGACTCCCTTAAACCTCAAACAACTCATGCTAATGAAGAAAGAATCTATAATGGTTTCACATTCCTTATATTTACTTCTTGCTTTACCAAGCATTTCATTCTGAGGTTTTATAAATAATCTGAAGAATTAGGTGGTTTATTCTTGCTATTTGCATATATAATAAAGAATATCTAGGGATATATGTGCTTCTAAATTGAGTTAATCTTCTTTTTTTTCTTGTTATTACTATGATTTAGCAATATGAAAGTAATACCTTCCAGAGCAGTTTTTCCAATAGCTGTGGTATTCTCTAATGCTACAGACTTACATAATGTCTTATAAAACAAATAAGCAAGTTCTGCACAAGTTATTTTTCTTAGTTACTAAAGCCAAAGCAACACTGCAATGAATAAGTCTATTTGAAGCCACAGGAAAGGACTGGAACTCTCTTTGGTAACTTTCTTTTGCTGGTACATAAAGCTCTTTTCATTTGGTATCCATAGAATAACTCATCCTGTTCAAAACTGACAATTCATATTAGTTTGTCCACATTAACAATCTGTAAGTAATATACCACAAAATAGATCAAAATCAGCCTCAAGATCTAGTTCTGCTAAAACATAGTTTACAAGTAGTAAGAACATAGAATTATCTTTTTAAAACCAAATTATATATATATATTAATGCCTGACTTTCCCTGAATTTTTAAGCAGGCTTAAAAATTGAAAACAGCTGTCATCTCCTTTGGAAATCAAAGAAATAGATTTTAACAAACACTCCTAGAACATAAGATAATGACTGAACCCTAATGCACAGAATTGTGATCAGCTCTGAATACAAGACACAATAGAATTGCTCACTAAAGTTCTGACCATTTTTGCTGGTACTTTTGATTCCAAGAAAATTATACAGTGAAATGAGTCTGCAAACAAGTCTCTGCATAACAAATAGATATGGAAGGGTGTGTTTACATGGAAAATGAACAAGAGTTCAGTTTTCAGACTGCAATTATTTTGACTTCTGATTGTATAAGCTGTGTAACTTCAATGAAGTTGCAGTCATGCCGGAAGCATTTCCCAATGAATTCAGTCCTTATTCTCCAAAATGTCTGCATTCATTCATTATTTATTTATTTTAGAAAGGCTTCTCAGCAGAGATTTCACATTCATCAAAACTCTAGGCCTCTTCCAAGCTTCTCCTGAGTTAAAAATATTCTATCACAAGAACTATTGTGCATAAATCTTAAATACCTTTGTTCCAAGTGAGATCACAGCTGCTTAGAATTAAGTCTCTTCTACCCACTTGATGGGCCTTCTGACTAAAAGCGCTAGGATTCATTTCACTTATTTCTCTTAAACGCTGATGCTAAAGCCTTGAATGAGTCCATAAAGAGAATGAAAACACTTTATGAGAAGTGTTTACTTGGCCTGACAGCAAGAGACAAGGATGAATAACATCTTCACACCACAGGACATGACTCGGTCTTGCTGAAAGCAGCCCTGAGTAACTGGGCTTTCTTAACTTGGCAGCACTGAGCAAAAAGATGATTTTGACCTATTTCTCAAAACATTCCATTGGAAATCATAGAAGTAAACTTCACAGAAGAGGCAGCTGAGTAAGAATTTGTTGTAGCATAAATTGAAACCCTCAATTCAAACTTTCTGTTGGTGTTTCAAACCAGTATCAGACACAACTACCTTATTCGTACTTCTGAGTTAGTCTCATCTTTTAGTCACATCATCATCCTTTTCTGTTGAACTCTGTTCTTTATTTCTGCTTCCTGTAACTCTTTAATGCAGTTCTTAGAAACTAATCTTCATACACTATATTTATTCCAGCTGACAAAAGCTACAGCTCTACAAAGCAGTGAATCCAGCCTTCAGTATGCATGTTAATTCTGAAGTGTTACTAGGGCAGCTGGGAATATAAAGGAAACAGTCTACACACAGAAATGGAGGATAGCCATTACAATCTTTGTAGTGTTGATGCAGGATGGCATCTCATGAAATGTTATCTACAGTGATGGCCATCTCAATATCAGAATGAAATACTTAAACTTCTCTTCCTTTCTGTTAGAAATCATTAATAGATTTAAATGCACAAGGCAAAAAATTAGCATCATTTCTGATAGTTACATCTCCATTTAAGTGCCACATCTATTTCCTTGGTATTTAAAGTCTTCAATTATGATTAAACTTTACTTTTCTGCTTTGCGATCCAGTCACAATTCTAATTAGTTCTAGACACGTGTCTCTCTACTGCTGGCAGCTGATACACTGAGCTCTAGAGGTAAAATTACAAAATTCTCTTTTCAATAGCAATGGCCCCTGATCTATTACAAAAAACAAACTTCCATCTCTAAGCAACTGATCTCTTAGCAACAAGAAGCACCTGCATAAAAGATGCCACAGGGAGGGATCACCAGAAAACCTACTCAGATCTTTAAAAGAAGAACATCAGTAAGAAAGATAGCACTCTTCACTCAAAATCCAGAGGAGGACACAGGTAATTTTTTAATTCATATGCTGTATTTTCTTCAGACTGTGTGAATAGGACATTACAGAAACGTGTGTGCAATTTTTAATTTTGTTTTTGTGGAGTAAGTATACTTTCAGCTGATTACTTTTTGTAATTACGTTCTGTAATTAGCTTTATATGGATGATACGTTGCCGGTATCTAAATAGATTTTTTGATTGGAAGATCTGCAGATTTTAAACCAAATTCTTAGCATTAAAAGAATAAACTGTTAAATATACGGACATTTTTCTACAAAGTTTCTTTTTAAAAAAGCAAGTACAACATTCTTGCTGAATAGTAATCCTTAGAAACTTTCCACCTCATTCAAACCTCCAGTGCTTCTACTGCATCAAGTATTATAACTTTTTAGTTCTTTTAAATACAAACTCTGGTGATTTCTAAAAGAAAAAAGAAAACACAGCCATTGCCTCTGTGGTCTCTGATTTCACTTCAGAGTGGACTGAATTTTGCTCCATTCACTACACCTCACATAAAGATGCAAAGCATGACAAAGTTAAGGTATGATACATAGAAGAGAATGGATACTGACAAACTGTTAAAGACAAACAGCAAGTTAACAGCTGGAGCTAACGTTTGTCAGCAAATTTGGAAAAACCAGCATTTCCAGGTTTCATTGTCACAGGAGGGAAAAACTGAATTTTAGTAGAGAAGTTAAAAAAAATCGTGAAGTGAAACAAGTCTGGAAATGGTTTGTTCTCTCATGACTTGCTCTAGCTTTGTTAGCTTTTGATGTGGGGAAGTGCTATCTGAAAGTTATCTGAAAGGTAAATGGTTTGAAAGTATTCATACATTCTTCTTAATCCTTCTTTTTCCTCAGAAACATAGAGAAATTTTCTTCCAGGTTAATTTACATACTTCGAGAGAATAGTTGATATTTGTAGCCAAAAGTCAAGAACTGAAGTTACTTTCCTTACACAGCAGTGCCTTCTGCGTCAACTAACTTTCTGCTTATGTGGGTTAAAGTAATGCTAGCAACAGAAGAATCACAGCAGAGATGTAATTGTGGCACAAAGAGCTGCCTTCAATCTGCCAAATGACAAACAAAGATACCTGCCTAGCAGTGACAGCAAATTGATGTTATATGCAAATATATATATATATCCAAAACCAAAGCAACCCTATATAGGTCTATTTTTGCACTCTCAAAACAGATCTGATGGAAAGCATGCTGGAGAAAACATTCTCTTGTCTAACTACAACTCATTTTCGGGTTTTGAGTACAATCAGAGCTTCTGCTGTTCTAAGGGAACTTTTGAGGTAGAGAGGCAGTAATACAGAGCCTTACCAACACTGCAGAAGTTTGTTTCTCTCTGTACTTCTTTTAGATGGCGTACATGCACTGACATTCTGCTTCAGAAGGTGTATGTTCCAAATGAAACTCTTTTACTGTCTAATGTGGATAGTACTTTTCATAGACATTATGTTAGTTCCTAAGCAACAACGAGACCCTTTTTGAAAGGTACAAGAACTAGCAAGTTATTTTTCCAAATCATGTCAGACTGCAATTAAAAGCCCAGAGCAGGACATGGTCCAAGATTTAATTTCAGATCATTATTCTTCTGAAAGAAAAATCCCAATTCAAATAATTATAGATTATTCGGGAAGCAGAAACCCTTATTGTACAGTCAAATTGGGCAGCACAGAGAGTACCTTGCCTCACACGTTCACATTGTATAAATAGCTACAAGAAAATAGTACGTACTGCCCACAAATAGGAGAGAACTCCTGAGCTGGATATGAGTTGACCACATCTTTGCTGAAATCACAACACCAAAAGCCCACTGTAGAAGCTCCAAATGGCTCCTCCATGACATCTACATGCTAGGTGTGATGGAACTTCCCCGCCACACCAATCCTCCACCTACTGACTCAAACCCTAGAAATGGCTGAAAAAGGTAACTATAGGCAGTGCATATTTTAGCATACTTGTACTTCTGCTGTTGTGAAAAAGAATTGATGGACTTTCAAGGAAACAAGACAACTGTCTGTATCAAGGTTTGTCCATGACATGTATGTAGTACATTCAGTAATATCTACCTACTTTGGATTAATTCTTCAAAAGGAACGTAACTGAGGAACAAAAAAGGTGCATTCATTTTTGTGGTTCTTAGAAGAAGTTCTACACAAAGGTGACCACTTTTAAAATAGTATTACAAATGACTTCTTATTCTACAGCTCAGATGTTAATTTATTATTTCACAATAAAGTCCACCATTTGAAGGCAGTGTTGAAATAGTCATATGAACTTCAGCGTGACATCTATTAAAGGAATCTGATGTGCAGTCAGAGACAGCTCTCATCCTATTTTAAGTGCTTTAGTCCCTGTCCAGCAAAGATACTCACATGTTTAAAAAAAGCAAATACAACTATTTTATTTGTCAAAAAGTTCTGTGTTCCTTTTAGGCCACGCCAACATCAGAAAACACTATAGTCCAACAGAAGCAGTTATTACAAAAAGAAAAGTAATTGGTAGAGTTGGTCCATGCTACATACATTTCAAAAGGGTTCACTTTAGATCTAAGCACTTTATGCTATTTGAAATCCCACTTAAAGTTGGTATGCATGAGACACAGATCTTGAGTACACTGCCTGATTTATTTGCATCAAAGATGACCCCAGTTTGCAGGCTCTTAAGTTGCTCTGTAATAGGAAGGGAAGCGTAGCATGGTTTACTATCAAAGCAAACAGCTGAAATGAACTGAAACACCAGTGCAGAGAGACTTTGAGCCACCGTCCTGCTGACTGTTGCACACTGAGGAAAAATCTGCAAAACAAATACAAGCAAACCACTACAAGCAGTTATTTGCAAGAAAATTAAGTCTGAAGCTTTATAGTCTGTATGAAATTGTCAGTCTTAACTGGGTGTAAACTGACAACATCTAGAATCAGCTACTAGTAAGAGAGGGAGGCTACAGTGTTTTATGTGGAAAAATGAAGACTTACTAGAACTGCATAATCCAACAGTTATATTTGTGCAAAGTCGGTCTATTTAAAATTTCACTTATACAAACTGTTTAGTTAAACTTTAGTTAAACTGCTTCAGATGCTGTTACGGGGCACTCATATTTGGAGATTCATAACAAGCAGCAGATTCTTCCCTATATCCTTCCTGAAATACTGCTGAGGAAAGGATTCTAAGACTCAAGGATGGGTCTCCAACAGTTTTCTACTACTCTTATGAGCTCCTCAAAATTATCAGTAAATTTCAGCCACTGATTCTGTAAAATATTCTATATTCTATTTTTCTATGAACTACATGCACAGCTTGCCCTTCTATTAAACATAGCCATTAAGCATCAAGTTGCAGTTTTAAGAATGGGGATTAATACAGTTTTCACTTAGATACATGGAATTCTTTTCTGTGGAACCCTCTTATCACTCACTGAAACACCTTTTGCAGAGAAGAGTACATAACAGTACCCAGAATTTTCTCACAGTGTTTCAATCAAGTGTTAAAGATCCATGATCTATAGGTCCCCCTGCTGGCAGGTGCTTCACAGCTGCTAAGCTCTAAAATTACCTGTATGCATATCCAATTAATTTATGTCACAAAAGCATTTCCTTATGAGCTTCTTTCCCAACTCTCCCACTCTCTGACTTTAAAAGCTTCCTTCCATCCCCTTCCCCCTATATAAGCAACAATCAGAACCAACAAAACCCTCTTATCAGACACATACCTCACTCAGATGCAAGGAAAAGAAAACCACCCACAGAAGATTTCAAGATCAAATAGCCAAGAATAGTGAAAACTTCTTCCATGCACCTCAGCTGTGTTCCATTTCTGCTTATTGTATATCTATAAAGTTTACTTACTGAATTTTTAGTTTTTCTTGAGAGATTTTCTTCACAGAAAATGAGCATAAGCAGGACAAGTAGTTCAGCTGAAGTATTTGCAAAATGATTTTTCCATCGCCAAGCTGACTTTTCCAACAAAAAAATATTTAGAAATTCCAAACCTGGAAGTGTTCTTGGATCGTATTTATCAAAATGGGGCAAAGAATTTCTCAGTACAAGCAGTGTCAATTTCTTGTTTTAAATACTAAAGGAGCCCCATTTCCTAATGCTTTGTGTGCTTCAGGCAGGTTCCAGAGTACAAAATGGATCCAAATAAAAGACAGTACTTTCACTGCCTTTCATTTACATGGCAGTCAGGTGCAGGATATAAGAATGATAAATCTAACAGTAAAGTGCACACTGATGTAGCTATCATATCATAGAGGGGGAAAAAAAAAAAAGATAAGACTCACTAAAAAAACTTAAAACTGTAAAATGAAGTCAGATCCAGAGAGAAAGTAATAAAGAAATGAACTTATGTGCCTGAAGCATAGCCATATCTGTGTGCTGTAAGCTCAGTGAAAGGAACTGGATTAAATAAGACCACTCTATGATTCTATCTACACATACACATAAATAGCACTCAGTGCAATTCAAAGCTAGCATTTTCACTTGTATCATTATGGAAACATTACCATTAGCGTGTAGCAGTTTTTATTGGTGAAATTAAAATATTGTTATGTGATTTAAACAATTTTTCTGGTAACAAAATCCTTTTTCAGAACATGCGTGACAGCTGGATGCATACAGGATATGTACATATCACAAGAGGGGTACTGCTAGCTAGAAATTGTGTGCACTTTTCCGTCACCTGGCATACCATGTCTTGGTCAGTGTGGACCACAAAGACTTTCATAGCAATTACCCAGAATACAGGAACATTACATACACCTGCAAGGTTTTGAGCCACTGCTGCTCCCCTCTTCAGCATGGTTTGGTCTGTACTGTAAACATTTTGCCTGAAAACATCAATTTCTCACTGTCTAGAAAGCACCTATCACTTATTTGGCATAGTTTAATATGATGATAGCACCCGAAGTTACAACAATGTTAGCTGTTCTTTCATCTGCGAGACCAAATCATGAGATAAAAGAAAGAACACTTGCTGAAAGTAAACCCAACAAAAAGCTTCCTATTAAGGAACAACATCGCTGGTGGGAGGAACAAAGAAAACTTTTTCCTTTTTCTTGTTAGAGCAGAATTAAGAAAATGTTTTGCCTTATTACAGAGCAGATGTAAGCTGAATCTCTCTGTGGTTATGCAAGATTGATTTTCTCACTCATATCATCACATCCTCCTCCTTGTATGTTATGATTTAAAATCAAAAATTGGCAAAACATTTTCAAAGAATCCTTCTGCTCCTGCTGTACATCCCAGAGCTGTCCACCTGCTTGCTTTTCCATGCTGCTCAAAGTGTTGGCTACAACCTGAAGGACCAGATAATCCATGGTCATGTTTGTTACAGCAGAAACTAATTTTCTCAAAGTGTTCACCAACAGAATTGCCATAAAGAAACACAATACTTTGTACTCCACTCAATGGTTGACTATAATATATATATTATAGTATATATATATATGTATATGTATATATATATATATAGTACTATATATTATATATATACATATACAACTATATATTATATATATACATATACATATATATATATACTATAATATATATATTATAGTCAACCTTTGAGTGGAGTACAGAAAGCATTTCCAGAAAGCTTTCTGGAAATTAAGGACTAACACTACAGACATGCAGGAAGGAAGGAGGCTATGAAACAGAGATAAAAGTCCATGGGTGAACTCATTCAATGCTTCCACGTGTGCTGAGAGTTTAATTTCTTGTGTTTTGGTTAGCAATTTGCAAGGAGTAACCCTCAGTACTGGCCAACAAAGCCAATGCTGGAGATGAAAGGTTTGACAGCCAAAGCATCCAAAAGTGTGCTTTCATATCAAGGTCAGAGAAGCTTTGTTATTTTCCAGCCAAAGAGAGTATCTGCTGCATGTCTCTTTCAACTTGTGACGTAGCCTGTCCTGGCAAGCAGTCCAGGTCAGTCTCATTATAAAACACAGCTACCTCAGAGGTAATTTGCTCATTTACAGGGCCTCCAGCAGGTTGAAAGGTACCGAGCAGATCTGAATAGAGCTTTGAGCTCTAAAAAAAAACTCTGCCTCTTTTCTTTCCCCTTCTTTATCTCCCTCCCTCCCTCCCTCTCTCTCTCTCTCTAAAGCAAAGCAGAATCATTTGGAAAAGATGATACCAGAAACTTTGAATCCACTGAACTACTTCACCAGCCTGCTACCAGACTTGATGCCAGCTGCCACAGTGCCTATCATCATTGTCATCTGCCTTCTGTTTCTAATATGGAACCACGAAGAAACATCATCAATTCCAGGTAAGGTAACTCCATGATATCGCCTAACAGCTGCCAAAGTATTTCTAGAGTTTTTCAAATTTAAATGAGAAGGGAATGCTGAATAATAATTGCACACAGCAAATAATAACACAGACATTAAAGTAACTGATGAAAGAAATCAGGCTCTATTTAACCTTACCACTTCCCTAACAAATCTGACCTAGCCATATAAATACATCATTTTGTTTTGCTTCTGTTGTGTATATGCTAAAAAGATACAATGTCATCTGACAAATTCTATATGTTCATATTTTCATGTGCATTATAAATTCCTACTTTTTATGTGTCGCATGCTTAAAGCTCACTGAATTATCTGCACTAGAAGCAAGAAGTACTATCTGGCAAATTACTTAGATTTTAGCAGATTTTTGTCTTTTACAGGCATTGTAGAGGCAAGGTATGCATCCTGTGAAGAAGAAAATCCTCCTTTAAAAATGATTCAATAGCCATGCTAATTCTGTAATGCTCTCTCCTTTTTGTTGTAAGGACATTCAGTGCTGAGTTACTGTAGGTTCTAGCTGATAACTTTAAGTGCTTATGAATCCTTTCTTAGCTCCTATTTCAGCATGTTGTTTTCAAAAATGTACAGCACTAAAATACTCTTTCCTCTAAATATCTATTTTCTCACTCTAGTATTATTGACTAAGACAAATATAATTACATTAAGAGAGATTAAAAAAATTATACTTAATTACATAACAAGGATATTCAACTTTATAGGTGCTATTGCCAAGATCACTCAAATGATTCATTAGAATCACAAATAAGTTGAGCATTTGTTCTACACCACTTCTTTCTGGTGTCTAGCCATTGTTCATCTGGTTGTAAGCAATCTCAAAGCAATGGTTTGAAGTCACATAAAGAAATACTGAACTTTATTTGCTGTATTCACACTGAATGGCTTGTAGGTTTTCAGAGATAATAAATCAGATTCCAGCAGTGTAGGTGCAAGTTTCTGTAAGACAAAACTTCACAAAGGGATTTTATGTCGCTTGCCCAGTGCAAACCTTGACCATAATGCAAAAAGGGCAGTCTCCAAAGGGGTGATTTTTGGTGACATATTCTTGTCTGTGAACGCTGACAAGAGAAAACTTGCCTTATTTTTCCCTCAGGACCAGGATACTGCATGGGAATTGGGCCCCTCATTTCACATGGGAGATTTCTCTGGATGGGAGTAGGTAACGCCTGCAACTACTACAACAAGACATACGGAGAATTCGTGAGAGTTTGGATCAGCGGTGAAGAAACATTTATAATTAGCAAGTAAACCTTATTTTCTATCTTCAAGAAAATGAAAAATTTGTTTCATAGATTTACAACGTTTTTCCTACTTTCTGAGGTAGAATTGAAGTAATTGCTTTACAAAATTGTCATAACATAATCCTCTTATTTCCTATTGTTCACAGACCTTTTTCCAATCTTTTGTTTCTTTAGAGACTCGATTATTGAGGTCTCTACTAAAGACTACCACTGGATGGAGTCTCATTTTCTAAGTGGAAAAGAACATAAAGAATTATGACCCAATCCTAAAAGATACTTACAAGTTACTATTCCATTTAATATTGGGATGACACATTTCACATGAATGCTGACTGATTGACTGCCACACAGCTTTAAGCCTAATTTTAGTTTCCCGTGTTAAGACTCTCCTTAAAATGAGAACAATTCTTGAAGATTATGGCTCTGATTCAGCAAAGTAATTAAGTGAAAGCAGCATTACAGGATCATGAGTAATTCCACTCCAATTACTGAGATTACTCCTAGAATTCAATTACACACAGTACTAAAAAAAAAAAAAAAAAAAAAAAAGCAGTAAAAAAAAAACAGTAGTAAAAGATTTACTATGCATAATTAATTAAAAAAATATTAGCAATATCAATCAATGCATATTCAGCTCTCATTATGTAAAGTTTTATGAAAGACAATGCAGAGAGGACAACTCTAACAGGATTTCTCAGGAGTGCTGCTAAGAAACAAAAGCTATAGATGCATCAGACATTACAGGCCATACATCACCGTTCTTCAGGCATCTTCTGCTTAAAAGCACTGACATCACATGGAGAACTAATATCTAACTTTAAAAACAAAAAAACAAACAAACAAAAAAAATCGCTTTTTTATGGAGTGCTTCATAAATTCACTCCAAAACCAAACAATATTCCAACTTCTGTAAGTGTACACTCCTCCTTAGTCTGTATTTTTTACTTGTATCACATAACATATAATCTTTACAGCACTGCTTTACTTCTTTTTGGTTAGCTTCCATTTCATCAGATTTTCATCATGTTGGCATTGCTAAAATGCTATCTCCCTCTAAAGGAAATATCTCAAAGCAATAGGGTTAGTCACAACCTGTTGGCCAACATATGTGAAAACAAACCTTGTTAACTGTAAAAACAGAAGAACGGATGTACTGGATTCACCTATATTTCTATTTAGGAACATTCATCCTACATACTTGGCTTTAGAAAATTTTCAATTTAATATACTTTTGTATGAATAATTCCTCTTGATAATATTATGATGCCGCATAACCAAAAGTTCCAACTACATTTAGGCTTTCTGTGCATGTTCAGGAATGGCCAAATAGCTACAGAATCATAGTTGAAGTTTAACATGCATCATGATGAAGTTATCACTGTCTGGGTAATTTTATTCATCACAGAGAAACTGATGCCTCACAACAAATACTAAATGCATCGAAAAAAACAGAATTTGCAATCTTTAATGCCCTTGAATGAAAGTAGTAATCATACTCCCTTAAATCTGCCATATTACTGCCTTTTTCTTACTCAAGGAAGTAATAGATATCAGAATTGGAGTCAGTTGGAGTTAAGCTGTTCACGGCAAACCCCTACATACGAATTAGAAGGGTAGATGAATAGATAGATTGATTGACTAACAGACAGAGATACACCATTCTTCCCAAAATATTGGACAAGGACTACAGAAATTGGTAGAATACAATGGATGGTACTTCTGGAAATGCAGACAATCAACTGCAGTGAACGTTACCATAAAAGGAATAGAAATGTACATGGATGTAAAACACATCTTCTTCAGTTCTGCTGCTTCATTTATTCACGGTGTGTTATTCCTCATGTTTTTGCTCAATATATAACCTGCAGTTTTCTAGGGCAGTGTTACTTAGCCTCTGTTATGAGCATTTGAGGGTCTTAGCAAGTCCCCTGTAGTGATTTTAAAAAGCACGCATTAGCTGTTAGTAGGATTGAGTTATGTATGTCCATCAAAAATACGTTAAGGAAAAATAAATCAAATATCAAATTTAAAAGAAATCGATTTAAAACTACTGATCTAATGTTAGAAGAAGAATTTCACTATATGAGAATGTACAAATCTGTCACTATTTTACATAATTTGCTAAAACATCTGATACTGGTTATTGCCTGAGTATACGTACAGATCCCTATCAGAAGTACAAGTTATAAGAGTACAAACACTATTTACATTAAAATCTCTTGGTGACCTTTGTGTTTTAACTGAAACTGTATCAGAAACTGTATTTTAACTGGTTTAAATACAGATAGAATACATTGATGCTCTAATAAAAATTCTGAAGCCATTCAATCATTTTTTTAATTATGTAATAGGAGCAACATTTAATGTCAAGAATAAACTAAGAATGCAAGTCAGCCCTTCTGAGAGTATCAGAAAAACATTCTGTGTATAATCTTTGAAATTGCATTTTATTCTTTTCTCCCCACTTCTCTTTCTTAGATCCTCAAGCGTATTCCACGTAATGAAACACTGGAATTACGTTTCTCGATTTGGGAGCAAGCTTGGATTACAATGCATTGGCATGTATGAAAATGGGATTATATTTAATAACAACCCGGCACACTGGAAGGAAATCCGACCCTTCTTCACCAAAGGTAGGTCAGTGCGCATTAACACACCGTGCCACTCTATCACATGGTCTGTTTCTTTCTGAAATGTTGTGTGTCCAGTGCATAATTAAACTAGAGGGAACAGTTCTCTGTTTATGATCTCAAAACACTTTTTCACACACGTTCTTTCACATTTACTGTGCTTGTTATGGTATTTGAAAAGAAAAAAAAAAATAATGCCCACAAATCAAGTGTAAAAATAATTGAAATTACTTGTAATTTCAATTACAAGTATTCACAATTATTCCAATATTCCAATATTCACATGAGCTCAGCTAGCACTTCCATAAATGTAGTTAGCAGATTCTGTCCACGTTTCTGTCCATACTTCCTATGATATCCAGGCCTTTCGTACTTGATTTTGAAATTGAAAACTATCAGCTGCTCTTTGCTGGCTGAAGACAGCAGGAAAAAATAATATCTTTCCTACATATTCCTAGAAGTACTAGCTCTCTCGATTTATGAGCCAGACAGCCTCTCTTCTCAATTGCAAATGTACAACCCCTCTCCACATGTATTTGATCAAATAACGTACTTCAGGCAATTACAGAAGTTCTTACATGGAAAAGTAATTTAATTAGAGTACCTGGGGCACTCAGCGCTGAGTTCATTCCAGCTAAAGCTCGTCATAAAATCCCACTGAATTACACAGCAGAAGAACGTTTGGTTTCTTGAAATGAAAAGACAGAAAATATCCCTCATGACATTATCTCCAGCATCCACAGCTGAACAGACTAATATAGGGTAATGCAGAGTGTTCTACTAGAGCAAGCTTCAATATGTCCACAGCAGCACCATAGGTTGCCAGCAGCTTACTGCAGAGCTTCTGTGCTGTTTACCCAGGAGATGCATTCCCAGAAAAGCTGGTTGTCCTCCCTATGAGCTCCCAAACTAACATCCCTGCTCAGCGTACTTGTGAGCGAGACAGGCTGCCCACAGTGCCTCTACAGAGGATATTTACCTCCTGCACCAAAAAGCAGCACAAATAGTGCCAAACGCCTAACATGGCGTGAACCAACACTAAACACAAAGTGGACGGATGCAAATGAAGTTTGGTCTTTGTGTTTCTTGCCATTCTAACTAAAAATGCAGAATGATTTTATTCCAGCCACTTAGGCTACGTTTTTTTGAAAACTTTTTACTAACATCGTAATTGCTAGCAAATTAGCAATAAAGTATAAAATTTAATGAAGCTTTTGATCATCTTGCATCTTTGTATTTACAGCCCTGTCTGGTCCCGGTCTTGTGCGCATGATAGCCATTTGTGTTGAATCAACAATTGTTCACCTGGACAAACTAGAAGAAGTGACCACTGAAGTAGGAAACGTCAATGTGTTGAACCTCATGAGACGGATCATGCTTGACACATCTAACAAGCTCTTTTTAGGGGTCCCTTTGGATGGTACCAACAGCTTTATTTTATACTTCATGTGCATAAACAAGAAATGTTTGTTGACATCACTTAGAGTTATTGTTTCAGAAAACAGAACAAGGACACACTATTACATCCCTAAATGATTTGTTGAAATTGGTAAATAATTCTAATCATGAGAATATTTTTTGGATCAAATATATATATATATATATGTGTGTGTATATATATATATATGTATATATATATATATGTATATATACATATATATATATATACACACACAAAGCTTTTCACATCTAAAGAAGTTTTTATGCTTCAATCCCAACATTATCGCCATGTAAGAATCAAAAACCTTCCCACCAAATGAAATTATAGCAATGAAAATTAACCCAATCTTCTCTCTGATTCTTTCACCCTCAAGTCCATTTGACCAAAATAATATTACCATGATACGTAAATTTACACATTTCAACACACTGCAAGAGAGTTCTGCTTCTGTTCTCCCATGGGAGAACATCTCTAGTTGACACACCATCTCCTTTTCCCTACCTACCAAGAGTTTCTACAAAGAAATGTACCTCATCTACAATGTTCTACAATCCTAACAGCATCTACTAAAAAATGTTTATCCTGTCAACTTAGCAGGAGCAGGGCCTCCTTATTATTTTCCCTGAAGCATTTCTGCTGTTTGACTATTGAAGTTTAGATTTTATACTGCTGTTTATTTACATCTATTTTCAGAAAGTGCCATTGTTCTTAAGATTCAGAACTACTTTGATGCTTGGCAAGCTCTTCTATTAAAGCCCGACATATTTTTTAAGATTTCTTGGCTTTGCAAGAAGTATGAAGAGGCAGCGTAAGTATCAACAATTTCTACAGATTTGCCTAAGATTCTTACTTTCTAGAAAGATCTTTCTTCAAATCTTTCTCTTAGAATGTAAATTGTAAAAATTTCAATGGTGACTGACTGAAGGCCACTTTCTACAAACCCAGGAAAGAAAAATGCTATGAAGAGGCTGATCTCAGGGGCCATTTAAAGTCCTTGTCTACACAGCTCTAATTTTCTTACCAAAATAATTCCATAATCCCTCCATCTAATTCTCCTTTGGCAATAGGTGAATGGTTGGACTGGGTGATCTTTTAGAATCACCAAGGTTGGAAAAGACCTATGATCCTATGATTCTACTTACTGGTGTCTGCAATGTGCATTTTTTTGGAGGAGTGGCTGAGTTTTGAGCTAAAACTTGGTGTTTAGCATGACAGTGCATTTCAACATTTTTTTCTTTAAGTAAGGAATAAATAGGTTTTGCCACCTTCCTGTTTGTAAAAGTACAAACTTCCTCTTCTGTCTTGATGCTCTAATTTGCTGTTTTATACTGTATATAAAAAGAAGCTTACCAAGCTTGAATTTTAAGTGTATTTACCCCCCTATAAGCACAGTCTTTCTACAAGAACGTGGCCTTCAAATCTGTAACTAATTGAAAATGCAAAATAAAAGCTATTCAATGTCATTTTTCCAAAATCAAAATGCATACTGTTGACAGTATGTCTCATCATATAATTACCATGTAGCCATTCTAAAGAATACTGAAATTCTATCCTTAGATGTTTTCATGGGTATAACCTTCATGTTTCTGAACATTATCTATACTTAATCATACACTAAAAGGCTTCAAATATTAATATATTGGATTTTATCCACTTTCAGCAAAGATTTGAAAGGAGCAATGGAAATCTTAATAGAACAGAAACGACAAAAGCTTTCCTCTGTTGAAAAGTTGGATGAGCACATGGATTTTGCATCCCAGCTGATTTTTGCACAGGTATTGGCAATATACTAAAATTTTGCCAACTTTGATTTTTCTGTCCATTTTCTTTCAATAGCAATAGAGAATTTACAATTTAGAGATCACATATCAAATTCAGATCATCAAGAAGGGATACAAGTTAGTCAGTTTGAAGGAGTCTCTCAATCAGCTGGCTTAAACAGCATCCTGGTTATTCACACCTTAAACGGCATCCTGAAAACCATTGAGTGAAGAGCACCCAGGGATATGCTCTCTCTTTGACCCCCATGTTTTATCTTGCTGCATTGCCTTTTACTTGCAAAGGCCCCAAGTACTGTGTAAATCCTATCTTGCATAATCTCTGACAGCTCACATACTGTGTGGGGAAAGGTAATAAATCAGTAAGAATCTGAGATAAGAACAAAGCCTCACTTTTTTGTAAAATCATACGCACCTATTAAAACATATATTTATATCAAAAGAAAAAAAGAATCCTTCTTAAAAGATAAGGGATGAGACTTGTGAAAATCAAGATCTCGATTTTCATTTAAATGTATTCTAGGTCCATTCCATACTACTGCTATGGGATATTTGGCATCAGGTTGGCAGTCAACATTTTCCCCAATTTTTTCCCCAATTTTTCTAGAACAGAGGCGATCTGACTGCTGAGAACGTGAACCAGTGTGTGCTGGAGATGATGATCGCTGCTCCTGACACTCTGTCTGTGACTCTCTTCTTTATGCTAATACTGATTGCAGAGCACCCCACAGTGGAGGAGATGATGATGAGAGAGATTGAAACTGTTATGGGTAAGTAGGGGTTGCAAAGTCAGTGGTGCAGGAATATAATTTTGCTTGTGCAGTGATCTAGTTTCTCACTCAACGTCTGAAAATTCTAAGGATTTTCTTCTAACATAATTGTTTGCTCTAACGTATACGAGCTACCACTTTATGTGGACAAATTTATTCAAGATCAAGAGAAAGATGAACCATTTTTAAGATAAATTCTATCAGGATTCATCAGAATTGACAATTCTGAGAAAAAAATACTTATCCCATAAAAACAGCAGTACAAATCACCTCAGAAGTTCCAATGAAATTATTTTCAATTTACCTTGCAATAGTAAAAGGGGACACTCATTTCAAATACTTCTAAACATCAATATTTCTCTCTCACAGAACCGAAGTTTCACTATGACCGCAGAACGGTAACGTTAAAGAAAACTACAATTGTTATATCATTCTGCTGTCATCCATTTTGATCTCAAACTGGTCTCCTCTTTAAATACTAATGATGAACTACTCAAAACAATCAAAATATTTTAAGGTTGTATTCTCCCTTTCTCTAGCCTTCATTCAAAGTTTGAACTCCACCAAACTACATAGAAACTAACTTCATCCAATCCTGTGGTCAGTTAAGCACTGGCAAGCATATTAAAAAATCCTTTCCTCTTTCTCTAAGGTACTTTCAGTCTCAAATACAAAGGAAGGGCTATGATGTTACCTCAAACTTCTTGTCATTGTTTCAGCCTCTTTTTCCTACTTGAGTTAGGAGACTGCCTTTCCCTTTGTCTTCTTATAGAAATTTTTCTGAATGATCCAAAAGTGTTACAACTGAAGGAAATCCAGGAATATCTGGGAAACCCAAAGAGTGAGCCTTCTTGTCACTTTACCCGGCTCCTGCAAACACTTTGAATCCTGTTCAGCATAACAGCAGCAAAATCTTCCACCACAACATAGTACAAAGGGTTTTTCTTACTGTACTTGGAATACAGTATCAGAGGTTAGCCTCATATTCATCACTACGTACAACTGCTATAAAATCCTTATACATCAGAGTACAACTATCTTGAAGTCCACTAAAACAAACTGTGCTTTGCCAGTGAAGACTGAGGCAAAATGTGTTGAGTACCTCAGCCTTCTCCTTGTCCTGTATTGCTCACTAGGTGGGGGGTGGGTTTCCAAATGGAAAGGATACATGAAATTACACAGAAGCTGATGGGTACTTCCTGCCATTTCAGGAACTGAAAATCTTCCCAAAATATTTTGGAATTTGTATGATGCATCTAATAAATTCATAACCAACTGCTTCACCATTTGTTTTATTCCTGAAGGTGACAGAGATGTACAGAGTGATGACATGCCAAACCTCAAAATTGTGGAGAATTTTATTTATGAGAGTATGAGATACCAGCCAGTTGTGGACTTAATCATGAGAAAAGCTTTGCAAGATGATGTAATTGATGGCTATCCTGTGAAAAAGGGGACAAACATTATTCTTAACATTGGACGTATGCACAAGCTTGAATTCTTCCCAAAACCGAATGAGTTTTCTCTTGAAAACTTTGAGAAGAATGTAAGTTTTCCACCTTATTTCCTACAGGATATTGGATATTATTTGTTGACAATGTATGTTCCTCCTATTTTGATCAAGACCTTTGTGACCAAGGCTGTTTTCCCTGTGACTAACTGCCTATCTAGCCAGGTGTACATCCTGCTTATTACTATTGTTTTTATTAGAGCTAGGTGGGCATTTTCCCATCGAAGTGTCTTATCATTCAAAAATAACATCATTGAAAACAAGAATTTTTGCAGGCATCTCAATTTAAAAATGCCACTGAAGACTGTCTAAGACACACACCTTTACCACCATCTCTGACGCTAGGCAAAATAGAGAGGCTTTAGGGAGCTACAGCCATGCAAGCAGTACATAAAGATCTGAGGCAGTGCAGGGAATCTCTGGTGAAGTGAAGCAGCACAGTAATTCCCAAGAGACAGACTCTGGCACCCATTTTATGTATTAATAAATACAAACAAACATTAAGTAAAAATACTCATCTTTTATAGACTGAATTGGCAATCCTAAATTGTAATCAGTTCAGTAATGCAAATGCTGGGTAATACTGTCCCAGTGCAACACACCATTTAATCTAAGTTTCACTCCAACTCCCAAAAGAATTTTTTCTATTTGTAACCCCCTACTACTGTAAATTATTCTTGAGATTCTTTTCATTCAGAACTTTGTTCTTCTGATTACTGATCAAATGAATTGTCTACCAAAAATATACTTGTTCAGCAGTAATCATATGGAGAAATTAGAAGTGCACTGAAAAAAGACAGACCAGTTCCATGGCAAATTTGACTCCTTGTTTTTGACTGTTAACCAGTGCAGGTGGAAATGAAAGATGCTGCTATCCAAGAAAGAGAGGACACAAAATATGAAATATTAAGTGCTAGCTAGCACAGCTAGGAGGCTGTTAGCTACATCTCTAGAACAAACAGCCAGCCATGCAAGAATGGAAGGCATTACCAATTTCCCTGTTAAGGGAATCTCAGCTGTGCAATGTTAGCCTTTTTTCACATATGAACAGATTTTCATGGTATATAAGCATCCTCTTTATATGGTCTAGTGGCCTGTCAGTTATAAAAGTCGTATGGGGCTAAAGCTAAAGGGTTAATCCTTTCTACAACTGAATAACAAATCTGAATTCATTTTACTACCAGGCAAAACTTTTTTTTCCCTAAGATGTTAGAAGATGCACACAGAGGTGCTCACAACAAGAAACTTCAGTTCTAAAGAAATAAAGAGAAGAGCCACTGTGATACTTCAGAAATAGTAAAACACATGAAGACAATTAAGAAATGAGGGAGAAAAGGTTATGTATGCTCAAGCCAGATACATGTAGAAAAATCAAAGATAGAGTAACTGATCAAGTTTACTGAACTACTCAATGTAATTCCATTTTGCCACCCATTGTTTTCATTCTAGACATTTCTACAAAAATGGATTTCTTGCTTATTTTATAAGCACACTTAGCTTCTAAAAATATTTCCCCTTGACCAAATGTTTAGCCACATATTTTCTAACTGATTTGATGTATGATGTTTGCCACATAATTATTCTAGCAAGCACAATTCTCTCACAGTTCTCTAAGCAAGTAACAATCCACACCATTATTTATAAGATGACATTGTTAGAATCTAAATATTTTTCCATTTTCACAGGCTGCGTGCTTGCCATTGAGCTATACTGCCAGCTGCTGCCCTTGCTTTGTATTATAAGCATTTGTATTTATCTATCGTTTTTGAAAAAGTATATATCTCAGTTTATTTGAAATGATTTGAACAGGTAAAAAATGAGGGGAAAGGATAATTTCTCTAGAAAATTTAACATGAAGCATCCTTCTGTATTCTAATTCTGGATTCAAAAGGAAATCAAAAGCACACAGCTAACATTCTTTTTAATACATTAATGAAGAAAAAAATTACCTAATTGCTTTTCTTTATTCATACCAAGTGCCTTGGTACATCATAAGCAGTAACATTCATGTTTCAGGGGACTGTTTGGATAGTTGATCTATTCAGTGTTGACAAAGGTAGGAGAAGTTTTCTATGCATTCTTCAGCAGTTCTGGAAATCTTACATTTCACATTTTAGTTGATAGAACAAGAGATAATCATTTTATAAATATTAAAAAAAAAAGATTTTCAACATTGCATTTTATGAGAAAATTGCTCATTTCTCAGAATCACATTTTGAAAACGTTCAGAAGTTTTTAAATGTACTTTAGCACATATTAAAGTGAAACCTTCACTCTATTCACAGCCTGTGATAAAATCCCTGTAGTTCTCAGGGGACAAGCAAAATGAAACACGTGGCAGAATTTAACTGCTTCAACTTTACCTTTCCTGCTACCTTTGCATTCGAAAAGGCACAGTTATTTCCTGTATTTATTTCCATGTTTTGGCCTGACTTGTGTGGGAAGACCATTCAGTAACAGCAGCAGCAGTGTGAAGTCAAGACATAGCTTAGAAATAAGGAAGGAAGCAATTTTCCTTAAAAGATTCTTTCCATGCTTCTTCCCTATCCACACTACAGATTTCCAGCATTTTTCTACCTGATTTTATCAAGAAAATTTTGCCTTAAAGTTTATTCCTCATGTTATTCTGCACAGGTTCCATCACGCTATTTCCAGCCATTTGGATTTGGCCCCCGGGGCTGTGTAGGAAAGTTTATTGCCATGGTAATGATGAAAGCAATTCTGGTGACTCTTCTGAGACGGTGCAGAGTGCAGACAATGAAAGGAAGTGGACTTAACAACATCCAGAAAAACAATGACTTATCCATGCACCCAATAGAAAGGCAGCCTCTGCTGGAGATGGTTTTTACACCAAGAAGCCCAGACAAGAATCACAGTGATTAAAGGGGATCAGCATTAACATTACAGGGTGTTCTCAGCCACTTTAAGAAATGCTCTTCATTCCCAGGTAAAGATGTAACATAAAACATTTTGTTGCAACTAAACCACTACACCAAGCATCCACTTATTTGCCTGCACAACACAACGTGTTCTGGCCATAAATTCCACTGCAATGCAATAAGTCCAAATTCTCAAAACAGTCCTGTTGTCAGGTGATGCCACCCTATACACAGGATTCCTGACTACTTTTTAAACCATCAAGTTCAGATGAAGTTCAGCCCTGCTTTTCAAACGGTGCAAGGTCAGACATTTGAGGGTCAAAATCACCTGCCTGTTCGTGCTAAATTCTAGGACTCATCCTGGAATTTCGTTTCATCCTCCCACCCCTCCAGTTGGACATAGCAGTACTTGGTGTGAAAGTTCTAATCATCTGTTTTTGAAAACATCTGAAGAATGCTAAATTTGACTTCAAGACTATGAAATGATTTAAAATACAGAAAGCTATCATGCTTAAAAAAAAATACATGTACTAATGTAACTACAGTAGTAGTAGTATGGTACTAATAATGATTTCCTCCAGCCTCAGGTTTAGACTTGGTCCTTTACAGCAGAGCTACGTAACTACCCAAGTTTCTTGCTGCAAATGGAAAATATATGGAAATTTGTAGAGTATAGTTAGATATTTGTTGGCATCTCTACTAGCCTAATGATGATTCTCTTCCTTGGTCAAAAAGAAAAAGATTTTCTGGGTTTACTGCCAGCATTCTCTGGCAAAGATTTTCCATTTTCGGTAAGCTTCAGTGTCCTTACCACATAAACTAAAGAAAGAGGCTTTCAGGATAAAGTGCCTTGATAAAACTAACTAAGGAACAAAAAGTTTATGTTCAGCTTTTCCTCCAAAGTCATTTAAACATTTTATTTTTCTGTTTATAGTTTATATACTTGTTTAGAAAACTTAATTATGTTAATTAATCTGGTCCTTTGGATCACTGCTCTCAGGTGCAGGTCCAGCAGACTAAGATTTATTCAAGTAGCATGCAAAAACTACTCACAACCAATAAATAACTGTTTGTTCCAGACAAGGGTAATGAATTAGGCCAGAATGGAATTGTTGATGGATAAGAGCTGCACATTTAGGTCAAAACAGCATAGAAGTGGTCTACAGGAATTTGAAAACATATACATCAGACTTGAAAGAAGAATGATTTATTGCAGCTAGGTTACTTTCATACCTTCTCCATAGGATTGGCACAGTGCCCAAAAGCGACACCAGAAACGCGCAGTCTCTTACAGCCTGTGAATACAGACAAATCTGTGCATCTGAAGATGCACATAAGTAGAATTTCCATCTTTTTAGTCATTAAGAGGCAAAGTGACGTGAACATTTTGAATATCCCATATAACCTCATTCTATATCCTTTGTAGCTTTTAAACTAAGAAATTGAGTCAGCTGGGGAAAAGAAAAGAATCCACTGAACCTTATTTTGCTTGGGAATAACCTATAATTTTACACATTGTGCATCTTCATTTATTTCACACACCAACATTTTGAACAGGGATCATTTACTCTGTGGTTTCTATCTCAGTTATAGGTTCAGAATAAATTTATTCTCAAGGTTGAAAATAATAAACTCCTTAAACAACTTTTATCACTAAAATTTTAAAACAATTACATGAAATCATGTAGATAGTTGAAAAATGCACTCTGCTCTGATTTCTTTAATATATACTGTTAAATTTAAAGGCTGGAATTTCAGACATGTGATTACTGTTATTATTCTATGAAAGAAAAGCAGTTTCATTTTTTACTTTTTGTCAGCAAAGGATGCAGAATTATTTTGCATTGTAATTCAGGTGCACTCTTTCTCATATGCTTTGCAGATAGTGATTCTGGTCCTCAAGTTTCTGTAGTACTTATTTTTGCCCGTATTTTGACAATGGGCCCATTAGTTAACCTGAGCTGCTACATAACCTGAGCCCAGTTCTCCATATCTCTTTTATGACTGTCATACAGTGGTCTATTTGCATGAATATTTGCATGACGAGGCCTATTTCACCACATCTTTGAGAATGGTAATTGATGAAACAGCATTTCAAAGCTTGCCATGTGGATATAAACAATTTAAATCTTCTAGATGCATATATGCCATTGTATATAACTAATTTTAAACGGTGTTTTATTACCAGATACTGTAAAAGCGTAGGTGACCTTTACAGCTGTATCAAATCTATTAAGTGACTTTTCCATTGGCGTTCAGTTTATTAACACAGATCAAACCTGAAGACTGTTTAATACATCACTATGAATATGGGCTGCTCAGAGCACATAGATGTAATACATTGTTAGAAAATAAGTGATCATCAAATAAAGTCTGTATGCACAAAAACATGCTTTTAATTATGTTTCATCATGTTTTCCTAATCTAAATACAAAATAGATGACAAAAAGGTTTAAATGTATGAATGTGTATGAAATCAAACTGATATTAAAATAATATTAGAATACTAGATACAGGGAGCAAATGGCATACACTAGAACTCATGAGAACTCTCCAATGCTCTTCAAAAAATCTATTCATTTTCAAACACCATGAGACACTCTCAAAAATATTTATCCCGGAATTTTACAAGCGCTAGGAGTGAAAATGAATTTAAACAGGAATAAACAATTGTCAATTTATTAGATTGTAAACTCTTTGTATTTTCTAACACAGCTGAGTTAATACATCATTAAATTCATTTTTAACTTCAAAATAAAAATCCCAATTTAAACAGATTGTATTATTGTCGGATAAAGCAAAGCAATGAAAAAAGAGCCAAATCTGCTCTGATCCATGGATCACAAATGGATCATAAATCCTGCTCTATGACTGAAAGCTGCTGTGATAGACTAGTTTTCAAGTGAGTTACCCTCAGTTTGCTAAGAATGCTAGAGCTCAAAATCTCTGTCTACCATTATTCTAAACTTTAATACAAAAAAAAAAAAAAAAAAAGCCTGCTTTTATAAGTCCAGTGTTTTCAAACACAGAACTTGAACCTTATAATGTAAGCAAGATCTCAACAATGCTACACCAACCCAGAAATAATAAAATTACAATGCATCAGTGGGTGAAAAAAAAGAACTTACCTTTTCAGAAGTATATTTTGTGAACAACTAGCCACACTTAAATAAAACTACTGCTTTCATAAGGTGAGATGATATTATGCTATTCATATTCATCTATCATTTCATCAGATATTGATAACTTTAGCAAGGTACAAATACAATTAAAGGATCTACAAGTCAAGATTGCACTGCTAGCAGGGTCCAGCAGATGGCACACACAAAATTTATTTGTGCACCTAGAGCAACTTCACCTGTTAGCAAAGTCCCTCTTGACCTACAAAAGCTAAAAGAGCCAGACTTCCACCATCGTAATTACTAAATACTGTTAGAGATGGAGTCACTCCAAAGTCACTGAAAATGTATAGCTGGAGACAAATCTAACCACCAATGGACAGACCTTACTAGCATTATTCTGACTGGTACCGGCGTTAGAAAATTATCTTCACATACTGAAACTGTTCTCCTAGTCTACCGAGTGGAATCTATATATAAATATATATACATATTATTTGGCATCGAGGTTGATAGAACCTTAGTAAGTCCCAAAATGATTTCTGAAAAATTGTGAAGGTCTGTTGGGATTTTAAGTATAATTCATCTAAACTTCATTATTTTGATGTCTTTACACTACCTCTCTTTCCATCAATTTGACATTTTTATATGCTATTTTACTCCGTTGCTTGGTTAATTTAATTTAGTGTGTCTATGGCATTCTTCCACAGCTCATAGTATAACAGGAATCTGTAATGAAATATCAGTTATTGAAGGAAGTTGATTTTTGTGTATTAAGTGATCCTTCAATGAATAATTCAAGTCCTAGTACTTCATGTGGCCTTGCCACACCATCACAAGTAATTATAAGCTCATCAGTCCAAGAACTTCCATAATAACTCTTTATTCTTTAAATAATTGCTGGGCAGAATCAAGACCGGTTAACTCCACTGCAAAGAAAGATAGATTTGATACAACATGCACAAAACCATTAAGATGCCTGATTAGAGATGAAAATACCTCCCATAGGATTTCAGCCGTTTCATTCTTCCTTAGTTCTAGAAGAGATAATTAGCATCTCACTCAGTGCTTTATAAACTTATCCCTACCTTGTAATGACATAGAGATAGAGCTGAATTTCATTCTCCATTTAGCAGCCATTGAAAGATTCTTGGCAAGTAATTACAGATCATAACATCTATATTCAGAAACTTCACCTTCTAACACCTTTAAGCTTATTTGTCCTCAGATTCATTCCAACAAACATTAGAAGAAACTATTATTCAACACTGAAAAATATAACGGAGACATGAGAAGATTATAAATCAGTATTATTATAATATTAAATATGGTGCTAACCGCATTAAGAAAATTGCCACTTACTTCCATTTCAGAAAGCACATTATTAAATTCTGTAAAAGGATTAGATCCAGCTATTGAACAAAAGCAGCTGCAAATGGTGCTTTTTTTTTTTTTTTTTATATATAGTTTGTGTTTGATGGAAAGTGAAATGTTTTCAAATGAAATTTCACTAGCTCAGTTGTATAGATAAAAATGAAGCTATATTGATTTCCTCTTCCTCCTTGCATAAAGGATAATGCAAAGAAGTCATATTACAGAAATGTTATCATTCTCTTATATTACTTCACCTAAGGATCCCAGAGCTCTCTGTAAGTATCAATCAAGATTTGAAGGCAGAACTGACTTGGTAAACTCAGGTCCCACAGAGAGGTTATGGTAAGAAAAAAAACAACTAAAAAACAATTAACTGATTAGCTCAGTAGCTAAATGTCTGAGAGCACCTTAACAGACAACGTTTGGTCAAAACCCCAGGGCACTCGGAGCATAATCCAATTCAAACACCTTTGCCAAGTTGTCAGTATATATGGCCAGAGTCTGCTCTGTATCTGTGACGTTCTGTGAATACTATGAGTAAATAAGATGGAGCATACAGTAAACATTTGTCTAGTACCACCTAAACTGCATGATCAAACAACATAGCCAAAGGTTGGTAGAGCAGGAAACTGATAATACGTAGCAGTACTTGGGGCAAAACATATTGTAAGACTCAGGGATAGCAGAAAGGTTATTGTTTACATATTGTTATTAGGTAGATTACCAGCGAATTTTTGGCTCATGCCATGCATATTCTTTCACTGCTGGGAAGTATACTGCTTAGCATCTCTAGTGCTAGAACCTCAATTTTATTTTAATATTTGCTCAAAATTGTATCAAGGAATTACTGCTCCCCATTGTCAGTTCTAGCTATTACTAGGGCTCTTTGCAATAGGAGAAAATTGTCACCTATAATATATCACAGACTTCTAAATTTTACTGAAATCTGAGTCAAGATCTGTGTTCAGGTAATCATGGAGCCATATTTGTATATTCATATTTGAGTAATGATGTGGTATTAACATACAAATATTATAATATATTTAAAGCCTAAGTCTGCTATGCTCTTGAAGTTATAAAGCAGTTTGCGAATATCTCAAAGCATACTACTGAGCAGCCTTAAATTTAGAAACCATTTATTGAATTTGAGTTGAAGTCTGCTACATAAATCTATTTCTTTATTGACAGGAAGGTGAGGAGTAGACAGGGAAGAGTTTACCATCTTTGAGTACCCATCTCTGTAGAAGATGGGCGCAGGGATAGAGCTTGAATGAGCAATAGAAGATTAAACCAACCCAAAAACTGTTTCAGCAACTGACTTCTAAAGAGGCTGATTAATTAGCACGGCGTTTTTGTGTAACCACACTCTTTCAAAAGAAATACCACAGACAGAATGGATCAGAGTAAAGGAATGTAATGAATATTTCTGCCATTGAGCTTTTGAAAGGCCAGTGATATTTATATGTTAGTCCACCATTAGAAGAGTCAAAAAATAAATTGAAGTGTGACATTTATTCAACAAGACTTTTTACACAGAACTTACAAAGTGTGGTTTATAGGAATTGACTTCAATATTCTGAGCAAATATAATGAAATAAACCCCACCAATTTTGCACAAGTCTTAAGTTTTCTTCTGAGAACGTGGAAAAAATAATTCTAAACATATTGTTTTAAATTATTTTAAAAATTTTAAATAACAAATGTACAATACTCTTCTGTTTAATTTGCAAGAAACAGCAGCACCTATGCACGACATAAATCCCAGAGCAAGTCTAAGATAACTAGACAACTAAACCCAAACCACTATATTTATTGAACAAAAAGAATTGCTTCTACTGGGATCAAATTGGATGTACACTTAAACACATCTGTCACACTCAGAAGGAAGGCCGAAGCCAGACACGTGAGATAAAACAATGAGGAGTGATGCTTAGACAAAAATCTTCCCAAAGAATCTTCAGTTTAATAATCCCACAATAGTAAAAATGGCAGATAATAAATCTGATTGTGCATTCAATATTAGCAGTACAAAAATGCCACGTCAGGATTTTTTAAATGAACTGGGGAACAAGTGCCATCAGATCTACTTTAAATCCCCTGCCTCCGGTATCTCTTTAGAATTAAAGGTCTTCTAAAGTCAAGCAACAAGAACAAAACAATCATTGCAAAGTGTTTTCAATTAATTGACAGAGCAGGTTTCATGTATTAATAGCAACATGTTTTTGCCAACTCTTTATAACATCTTCAGGCCCATAGCAATGACTCACAAAAATAATGTTTGTGCACTAGATAAACAGCTGATAACAACTGTAACAACTGTTGTTGTTATTACTAAAGAATACCTCGGGAATTATTGTTTTAAGGCAGTAACAATACTAACTGTGTACTTGCACCCACAAAAGAAGGTGCACACTTTTCACATAGTCATTGCAGTCAATGACAAAATACTGACAGACTGCACAGGATGCTTGATCAAGACATCGTGACAAAAACACAGGTGAGCAAAGAAAATCTGATCGCGTCATTAAACTCTGAACTAATTAATGTTGAGGATGGGCAGTTGTTTTACAGGAATATGCTCTATAACATGTAGAGCATTCTGTGCCAGCTGTGCACCTGTCTCTATGTATTCAAGAGGAATCTGTTTGGCATAATGTATTTACAGAATATTAATCATATATGCAAAATAAAGACCCATACATACGGTACACATAGTAGGAGAGTATTAATGTTTGCCTCAAGGTTAGTATTTCTTGAGTATTTCCTAAAGTTGAAAGATATCAGTACACTGAAAGATAATCTGTTCCTCTCAAAACTATTTTTCAGAGCACATCATTCATTAACAGCTTCAGTTTTTTCTTATTGGAAAATATGATTTTTCTCATTATTCCAATACA